TTTTTGTCCCTGCAGTGGTTGTTAAGAGTTGTGCGCCTTCCTTCTGACTCATACAAAGCAGGGGCGCAGGGCCTGACGCGTGTGGGTTCACGGCACGCCATTGCACGAAGCCGGGGTCGAGATGGAGAGTCTCACAGGCCGCAGCTGGGGGGGGCGGGATGGAAGCTGACAAGCAGCAGAGGAATCCCCTCACTGGCACCACGTTCACAGTCCACTGCTTCCTCTTAAAGGCATCAGCATACTGCGACTCTCTCACTTGTGCACTCCTGCCGTGGGTTTGGCAGGACGCGTCGCATTTGATTACGTAATGAGCTTAAGATGGAAACAAAAACAGCTCATGTTTGAGTATTATTCGCTCTAATGCTAATGATTTAATAACAAGCTGGGAAATTCAATCAGTAGAAAGTTATACTTGGAAATCTATATTGCAGCATCAGAGGATTTGAGGCAGCTACTGAAAAGATGTAAAGATCAGTTTGACAGGGTGACATTCAGGAATTTCTTAAGAGAATAGAAAACATTGAGCAATAAACTCACCCGTCATCGGCAATAAATTAACCAATAAAGTAATCAGCAGAAAAATGGCACTTTTTTTTGTCCTGACCATTTTCTATTTTATTCAAGAGCCAGGTCATGTATGAAGGTTAATCAGTAACACAAAGTTGTCAACAGGAGGCCTACTGTGCAAATTGCAGACTAGAAGCATATGTGCCCATTGGAAGCAATTTTAGCTGCAATATTAGCTGTCCAGTTCCTTTCATAGAACTTACACACTGATTTCTGAATCCTGGATACCACATCATCCAGCAGCCTTATCACCCTGCAACTCCCAGCTGGCAGCCCACTGCAACTCAGCAGGTGTGAGCCTGGTCAAGACCTGGATGAGAGACCTCCTGGGGAAAACGAAGGCTGCTGCTGGAAGAGGTGTTAGTGTGGCCAGTAGGGGACACTCAACATGTGGTCTGTGTGGGTCCCAATGCCCCAGTATAGTGACGGGGACACTATACTGTAAAAAGGTGCCGTCCTTCGGATGAGACGTAAAACCGAGGTCCTGACTGTCTGTGGTCATTAAAAATCCCAGGATGTTTCTCAAAAAGAGTAGGGGTGTAACCCTGGTGTCCTGGCCAAATTTCCCCCTGGCCTTTACCAGTCGTGCCCTCCTAATAATCCCCATCTATGAACTGGCTTCATCACTCTGCTCTCATCCCCACTAATAGCTGGTGTGTGGTGAGCGTTCTGGCACACTATGGCTGCTGTACATCATCCAGGTGGATGCTGCACATTGGTGGTGATGCAGGGGAGACCCCATTACCTGTAAAGCGCAATGTACCTGTAAGCAATTATTAATTATTATTATTATCCAGGTTCATCCCACCACTGCTCAGTGAGGCTCAGGTATCGTGACCAGGTCATCCACAGCTTCAGTATCACATTCTCACGTCCTGCTGGGCTGTTGTGTCACGGTGAGCCCAAGGAAGGACAGCAGGAGGTCTTGACCGACGAGGCGCTGTGCAGTCGGGCTGTTGCACGTCTCCACACTTCTTCCTCTGTGTGGACTAAACGCAGACGTGGACCTCCCTGGCAGTTGGTCAACAGTCAGGCTGTCATTCTGCATTTTTGTGCCAGCATAATGATTGCAAAGTGGCATTGTTCTTTTTTTCTTGATTCTTGCCAGGCTTGACATTCACCAGGTTAATTCATCAGCTCTCTCCCTGAGGAAAGGATTTAGTGCTGTTGCAACAACCAAGATCACTTCTATGCATTATGGTCAGACATGAATGCCCAATTAAAATCTTGCCAGAAACATTAAGCTAATATCCAAAATCTGTACGTTTTCTAAAAACTTACACGAACAGTAATGGGATTCCCAGGGTATACATAACTTGTATATATCAAATCATGATTGACGAGGATTTCAGAATTCAGGTTGTGGCTTATTGTGTGAATCTATACATATTGTTCATGGACATGTAGAAACATATTGGACACCTTCAGAACACATGAAGTCCTGAAGTTCTGATGAAAACAAACCAGGGGACACGAGTGGGAGTTATATGGAATTGCAGGAATTGGAAACAAGCTATCAAGCCATGATGTTGTAGCCAATACCCAGGCTTCCTTCAAGAAACAGCTGGATGAGTTTGTCAGATCGTATAACCCATTACCATCAAACAGGCCAGATGACAGAAAGGCCATCTCGTTTGTAACCTTAGTTTTGTACATTTGGAAGCCTATGAGGTGTGAGCACAGCAGAGAAAGAAAGGGTTAAAAATGATTTGCCAATATATATCCATCTAGTTTTCCTTTTTCCTGCTCTTCTGTCTGGGTGTTCCTCCAGGATCTGCCTTAGCTTTGAGGCGGCACGGTGAATGAATTATTTCACAAAGCATCTTCTCCAGCACCTGCAGCCTGGCTTATGGTAGCTTCTTGGAGTCTGGATGTAAAAACACTTGTGGCCCAGTCCAGTGTAAGATCACAAATGGCTTCTGGTCAAGTACACTGGAGCATTCAAGCATAGAAATTCCTTTTAGAAAAATGTGTTTTTACTTATGAAAGCAGGGGTGGTGAACACCAAAAGTGCAGCAGTAACAACCCGTTTGCACTGTTTGTCCTAATGGGAAAAGAGCCAGAGGTGAAAACTGATTTCGGAAGCCATCCAAACATGCATGCTGCGGAGAAAGGTTTTATGGCTGTTTCTAAGAGCTCAAAAGGCTTCTGATAGGTCGTAAAAGAACAGTATTATTGTAAAAGTATAATTTTTATTTTCCCCCTGATGTTTTTGATTGAGATGCACAGATTCCCCTCATGACAAAATAAATGAAAGACATTTGGTTTTCAGTGTTTTGCACAGTCTGTTCTGGTAACCATTTTATCAATGGTAGTCTAACAGCAAACATTCAGCACATGTTGCAATTTCTACCTTTGCTTTGGGGGACAGAAGTAAAGATGTGTTGTTTTTTTTTCCTTAGTATCAGTGTGAATGGAGTACTGAGCTGATTAATGTTCTTGACAATAAATGCTCTGAGCAGCTTCAGGGCATCATGAGTGTAGTGTCAGTGTGTTTGATCAAGGACGGGTTTTTTTCCTAGATAACCCAGTGCACTACCCTGGCCCTCTGCCTGGAGTTGTGTGCAGCTCTCCGTGTTGCAATGAGGGTTATTCTGCAGCTTTCTGTGAGGTGAGAATCTTTGGACAAACAAGTTTGATTTCAGTGTCAGGACTGAGAAAAGAGCATTTATTCTGTAACACTTGATTTAGGTATCGAATGCAATTGTAGAAATGGAGATCTTGTTTTTCCACGTGGGCATATGAGTGCATTGTTCCAGCATTCTTGCCTGTGTTGTTAAAGTATAAACTATTTGGAAAAAATGTATTTTGAAATTCCACAATGCTACTATGCATCTTGCCCATCCAGGTGACTGTCCCTTTCACACCCCATTGCAGATTTTTCTTCCTGTGTTACCTGTCACAAAACTGGAGGCACCGTCAGGTGATCCAGTCCAATCTGAGGCATTATTGTGCCTCACATAGAATGAACAGTCACAGGGTGCTTATCTGACTTTGCAAGCAGCAGGGTCAGCGTTTGCGTGGAGCCTGTGGTATTGTCTCAGTTTATCCTGCACACCTGTGATCCCTTCAGCATGGGCCCGAGTCTGGCTGGCTGTGCTCACTGCTGCCCCCTGGTCGGCATCATTACTTCCGCTGAGCTCCTCTTCCCTGGTCTGGTCTTCCACGCATACAGTATGTGTCATCACAAGCACCAGATGAACCCTTCTCCTGCAGCCAGCGCGGGCAAGCTGTGCATTTCTCGAAAGAGGCGCCAGTGGAGCATGGCTGTGCTCGAAATGTGATCACGTGGGCTTGTGTTCTCTTTAGTGATGCACTGATTAAGGACATGGGGTTTCTATTCAACAGCAGATTGAGTTTATAATAATACTGGAGTAGTAATCTTATCTGGCATCAGTTACCCATAAGTGCTTCAATATTTGTACTCCTCATTCCACGGCAACCAAGAAATTGTCAACTAGCAATGACAAATGTCGTTTTCTATCCCTGAATTGCGAAGATTTAATGAGAAACGTGTTAGGTTACTGTATTTAGGAGTAAAAAAACAGGTATAGGCATAGTTTTGGCTTTATTATGCTGTTATTAAAGGAAATGCCTAAGGCTGTGACGGTAATAATATACAGTAAACTGTAACCCGCAATAAATGTAATCTTGTTCCAGTTTTTTTAATGATTCCGAAGGATATGGAGAGAAATGGCGCCCTCTGGTGGATTTGCAGTTATTTATTTAGCCAAGAACCATGTTATCCGGTGGTTCCCAGTTGAGATTCTGGGAACCACTGAGACATCTGATTTTTTTTTCCAGTCAGGTTTAACTTTTTTAAATAAAAATTATTTGAATTTTTAAAAAGGTCAAGTAACATTTGTAATTAATATCAACCCTGTTTAAATTTTAGAACTGCCCGTGTTCAGGAGTTTTGCCTGAAATGTAACGAGAACATAAGCTCATTGTGGAAGCTTGTCTGTCGTTGCTGAGAGCTCAGCTAGAATGAAAACAAGCAGAGGAAGGAAAAAAACTGAATTTCCATTGCTTGCAGTTTTCTTTGTACAATTACGGTGTTTTCTGATAAAATGGTTTGACCTACCCAACAGGAACAGAATAGACTAGTAGCTGAGCCCTTAGATTAACAGGTTGTGGGTTTGAATCCATGCTGTACACACTGCTGTTGTACCTTGAGAGAGGTACTCTACCCCAGTAGCTCCAGTCTGGCAGCTGTATAGGCAGTGACGAGCTGGAGAGGGGTATTGTCGCTCATTCTGTTTAATTCTGCCCTAGCCAGGGTGAGCTGTGGCCCAGTGAGTCACTGTGGGCTGTATTCTACCCATTGTTCAGTCCTTTAAAATACTTAACTCTTAAATATTGCTTTAAAAACCATAAGACCTACTACATCTACAGCAAAGTGACTTAAAATATACTTCCCCTTGTGTGCCCAGGTGATCATCGAGGTGACGGAGATGCTGCACAATGCCAGCCTGCTCATCGATGACATCGAGGACAACTCCAAGCTGCGGCGTGGCTTCCCTGTGGCCCACAGCATCTATGGCATCCCATCCGTTATCAACTCCGCCAACTACGTGTACTTCCTGGGGCTGGAGAAGGTGCTGACGCTGGAGCACCCGGAGGCCGTGCAGGTCTTCACCCGCCAGCTGCTGGAGCTGCACCGCGGCCAGGGCCTGGAGATCTACTGGAGGGACACCTACACCTGCCCCACGGAGCAGGAATACCAGCAGATGGTGCTGCAGAAGACCGGCGGGCTCTTCGGTTTGGCCGTGGGGCTGATGCAGCTCTTTTCCAGCTACCAGCGCGACCTCAAGCCCCTGCTGAACACCATGGGCCTGTTCTTCCAGATCCTCGATGACTACGCCAACCTGAGGTCCAAGGTGTACAGCGAGAACAAGAGCTTCTGTGAGGACCTGACCGAGGGCAAGTTCTCCTTCCCCATCATCCACGCCATCTGGTCGCACCCCGAGAGCACGCAGGTGCAGAACATCCTGCGGCAGCGCACCGAGAATGTGGACATCAAGCGCTACTGCGTGGACTACATGGAGAAGGTGGGCTCCTTCGCCTACACGCGGCAGACGCTCCAGAACCTGGAGGCCGAGGCATACCGGCTCATCCAGGACTTGGGGGGCAACCTGGAGCTGACGGCCCTAGTGGAACAGCTGAGCAAGACCTACAAGGAGACCTGAGAAGTCCTGCCTGGCCTCCCTCACCTGACCTGACAGTGCTCTGGCCTTGCCTGACCTCCCAAGCACTTCCCCCAGGGCTGTGCACGAAGGACCTGCCTGGGAAACGGCAGCGTTGACTCACTCGACTTTTAGCAGGAATGATGTCCGAGACTCACACAGAGCGGCCTTATGCGTTTTTTTTTATGTATTGTAAAATAAAATATTTTCTTCCCACTGTGATGTCACCTGGCTACGGCATGCTTTTTCATCTCCATTTCAGTATTGCTATGGTGTTACAGGGACCTCAAGCATTCATTAGAGGCAGTGGGCCATAAAGGATGAGAAATTTCACTACTGTAGATTCTAATTTTAAAGCAGCTCGTGATGTTCGTGGCAGCAGCATCATACGGCTTAAATTTTCCATTTTAAACTGTGCCATTGGATTATACAGTATATCTTGTTGATGTGACCTCCTGTAACGCTGGTTTCCTGTAAATATATACTACAAGTGTTCTTCACACCCGTTACAGAATTTAAGATGTGAAGTTCATTTATAGACGGTGCTGTGCTGAAAGCAATATTGGGGAGCTCTCAATCTTTGGTTGCCCGACTCTGGGGCATCTGTGAGGTAAAGGCTTCTGCTGATCATGTCGGTTTGAAATGATCAGTACTAGCGAGAATAAAATGTCTGCCATAGCTGATCAGCATCTGTTTGCTTTTTTAGGAAAGCGTGCAGGAGTGTGGAGTATGGGACCAGATTTCCTGAAAGATTAGCACAAAAAGTTGAAGCGCATACTAGCGAACAACAGAAGACACAGCTCCCTCTTTCGTTTGCAAAGGCATCAGAAGAGCTGATAGGCTGTCAAGGCTTTCTGCTGTCAGCCCTTCTTCACATAACAGTCAGGAAGGCAGACAGCCAAGAAAAAAAATCATTTTCCCTGCATCTTAACTGAAGACATATGCTGTAGTTTCTAACTGAGTAGAAAGCTGTCAGCGAAAAGGGTAATGAGTGTATTTGGGGCAAAATTGTTCCAGATACTGTCAAATCTATATTTTATCCAAAACTCTAGAGTACGGTGAAGCATGCATTTTGTATTCCACACTCCTCATTCCACATTGCTCCTAAATAGAGGTTTTAAGAAAACCGTGTGGTCATCTATTAAGTAACGATATTGCATTGCACTGCCCAGCATTGAATTAAATTTATGGAAGAGTGACTGCTTCCAAAGGTTGATCCTTAAATGGTGAGATTTCCCAGACTCCACTGGGCTTTCCTTGAATAAAACCGTTTGAGGGTCTTGTCTGGTGTGAATATGTGCTGGACTCTGCCATAGCCTTGCCTTTTTTGTAAAGGAGTCTGCTGTCCAGTGGTTTCTGGTGGGGCAGTCCGCTGAGAGTCCCAGACCAGCACAGCTGTGGTCTTTAAAGCTGACCTCCAGCATGCTGCAGGGCATTAAGGGAAGCACTGTCTTCTCTGGCACTTGTGATTCAGAAAGCGCTGCACTCATCTCCAGGCTATTATAAAACCCTGAGAGCCAATATTAAATGGCGCTTGTGCTGTCTGATTATGTAACGTCCTCCATAGCTTCTGAGCCGCCTGAAAGGGCTTTCCATGGACTCGTATGCCTTGCAGCTGCTGTTTTTTATGATGTTGGTGTATTGTACAGGATGGGCAGAGGAGCTGGGGGCTGATGGAAATTGTTTTAACAGTGCAAGTGAACAGCAAGATGGTGGACATCCAGCTAGTTTCTTTCGTGTTTTCCCAATCTTTGAATTCAGCAGGGAGGCAGTGATACACAGGAACTTGAGTTTATTTTCAGTTCAAATGAGAATTGGCCGTGCTTTTTTTTTATTTATATTTCATAGCGCACTGAGGATAGCGCTGGGAAGAAGAGGCCAATGTCAAGTGAAAAGGGTGATGACGTTTGTGAGTGGAGGGTGTGTCTGAGGGACTATTTACTTGTTTATATTCATTTCAGACTTGGAAAAAGACATGCTTCTGGGATGTTTTTGACTTTTGAGGGAACAAAAACAAAAAAAAATAAAGTTGTGGAAAAATGGTATTTGGTATTTTTTCCTATAGTGCAAATTGAACTTCTAGCATTTACACCTGTTTGTTTTTTCCTGAGTTACCTTTAATCCCTGTGTGGACTGTTATGTAAAGCTGTCTCATTCCAGATGTCATTTCATTGCCATCTATTGTGCTTTCAGGTAAGCAGGTTCAGAAGCTAGGTGGAAGATACTGAATTTGCTCATAAATGTTGGGGGCAAATGCTTGGCTCTTCGTGTGCAGAGCTTTTTAGGGGTCCATGTGAGTTTTAATAAGGACTAGCATAGCAGGTGATAGGTCATCCGTATCATAAATGTAGACTCTTCTTATCTGACAGTGTGATTAAGGCATACAAAATTAGGAGCTGATAAAAGCTGTGGCATATTCTTTATCTCTTTAACTGGATTAGGACGATACCTCAAGGGTAGGCACATTTCTTACTGGCCTCATTTAAAGCCTTAATTATTATGGTAATATGTTAAATTAATTGTACTTGCACATCAGTTACAACATGTTGATAGACCGCTAGCTTGTTTTCACACTGCAGCTCCAGACTGGAAACCAGATCCCCTCCCCTGCAATAGGAGTTAAGCGGACATCTGGGAATCCCACATGATCTAACCAGTACAGAGGGATCCTGTCCAGTTTTCCACCTCAGATAAACATCGGCCACAGTTGACAAGTAACAGGCTGGATTGGAGCTTATGATCTCTCCGTGGTGGTTTGGTTTGGAGGTCTGCACGAACTCCAGCAGACAATATTACTGTCCATTGACTGATGGTCAGTCACTGCTCAACATGCTGCAAGATTAATGCTTTTTTAGTGGTAGCTCTTAGGTTCTGTGCAAGTCTCCTGAAAGCCTGCAGCAATCCTATAATTTCAGTGATGTAATGTTTTCTTTTTTCTATAGTCAATTAAACAATTAGCTTAATTATTTTCTTAGACTTTATATGGAATTTTTCTCTAATAGTTATCTGTAAAATGCCCTGCAGCTTGATTATACTGTAAGTATTATAATCGTGCAGTCAGTCAATTAACTATATAAAATGTACATATAACAGAGTTGGGGTGGGGAAAAAAAAACAGAGGAATTGAGGTGGAGACACTTCAGAAATTATCATAGGCCCTAGTAAATAGACGTCTGAGTCTGAGGCGTCATTAAGTACACATGGGTTTGTGATACTTCGAGTCAATTAAATCACCAGTAGATGGTTTATAGACTGTTCTACCAATCAGTGCAAATTACACCACATTTTCCTATTTTTATTGTGCTTAAAATATTTTATTCCAAATTTTCCTTTGTGGGTCTCCGTACATTAGGAAAGTCCTCTAGTTGTTGTCGTCGCAGGAGCAGTAGAAGAAAATCCTTAAATGTCACCTTGCTGTGACTGAAGTCACCTAATTGAGATGTACAGTACCGGCTCAGAAACACTCAGCTCTTATCATCGCTGATTTCCCTCATCAGACCAGCATGACAGAATTACTTTTCCAGACAGCGCGCTAATCCTACAGGAGTCCTGTAATCATCATCATGCAGTCGTTTCACTTGTGCCAATTCTAACGTACTTCGTAAAAAAATCCCAAGGGATGCAGTATCACAGTGTCGTGTTTATGCTACAGGTTTACAAAAAGGGGTATGTTAACTTATTTGGCATCGACAATAGCTTTTCAATGTTAAAAATTAAAATGCATTAATTACATGTAGAAATGACGAATTACGCCACGAAACGACAAGCGCGAGAATAATGATGGGTTTGTTATCTGTGGCTTTCTCTGCCACTGGTCATCAGTGCACCCTTTTCACTATTTTATAGGGTCAAACCACGTCAGTCACTAAGCTCTGCTGTTCCTTCTACCACCGGTAAACTTCCCTGTTTCATCCACCAGCGCATCACGCCTGGACTGCAAAGTAATTCTTCTGCTTTCGTTCAAGTGTCCATACTGCTACACGTATTGATATTATATAGCAAATAAACTGGTTAAGGAATTAAAGTAAGAGTAAAAACTGCAGATTCTGCTATCGGAGAATTTCAGCTTTTGTTTACACTGAACTTTTGTTAAAGCTTAGCCAAAGCAAAAGTTGACAGTAATGGAAGAATAAATAAATGCATGTTCATAATTTAATATTTACTTAGAAGGTTTATTTAATTACCTTCTGACGACCTTTGAGTAATGCCGGATTCAAATTCTAAAATTTAAATGCTTTTAAGTGTAATAGCTTTCCTCTAAAATGTCGGTATCAATTTTTGAACACTAACAAGTCTTTGTTATGTAATCATAGCTACATGGATGTGTTACAACAGAACACAAGCACTTATTTTGAAGTCTAATTCTGAACACTTTTTTCCGCAAGATAATTTAACATGACTGTCTAAACACACTAGCGCAGGTCTTCGTTTTTTGGTAATAATTACATGCATTAGACCTGCCTTGCAACATACAACGTAAACGTGCCTTGCAACAACTTTTAAATTATTCAACAAATTTCAATATATTTTTGGTTCGTTGCTTTATAAACCTTTGTTTACCTTTGAGCGCCACCTATTGGGTTAATAGTTTAGCAACTCACGATCGTCATGATACATCAGGAGGGAGTCAATATTTGGCAAAATGAATAAAAAAATGTATACCGAAGCAGAAGACTGCTACTACTTTATATTTGATCTTCACATATTCCATTACATCAATAAAGCAATACCACGTTCACATTGTAAATTATTTCTGTTTTCCGCAACTTTGACAGCAGGAATCACTTATAAGATTGTTTTTTTTTTCTTTATTTTCGGAAGAAAGCAGTCAGAACAGAAAAACAAGATTTAGTCTAAGTCAGCTACTACGGGTTTTTATTCTTAGGAAGTGAACCTCGAGTGAAATGGGTCATTATAAATCAATGATTTTCATTTCATGTCTTTGACACGTTTGAGGGCTGAGCAAACACAAATTTCATGAAAAAAATCTAAAACTCATGTATGCATCCTAGTTACCGTGTAATATTGTGGTGCACACTATTATTGGTAATATTAGCCTTCGTCTTTCATGATTTGGATGCACTGTAGCGCGGGGGGACGTATTTCAGGATACACCGTCGCAAACTAATGACATCATGCACTCCCCTTTCCTAAACCCTAGACTCGTTTTGAAAGGTAATATACATTGCGTAGTTTTTTTGGACGACTGGAGTTTGTTTGCCTTGTTATTATTTTTTGAATGAACCAATGGACAACCATTCCGAATAAAGGTAAAGATTTCTTTCTTTTTTGTTTAATGTAGTGACCTAAACTTGGTAAAATTACGTATGTTCTTTCAGTCGCTGTGTGCCCAGTATCTCAGACACGACTGAGCAATTCGTTCTTATCGAAGCATTAATGTGTCGATTTCTCCTTTTTGTTGCCCTTATTGATTAACCAGTGGTTAATGCCCTGCTATGTAGCTCTTGTTATTTCTGCCTTTGCGTTTATAGATTCCTGACCTACAGATGAAGAATCCCTAGCGAATATCTAGATCACCGTGTATCAAAAAAGGAAATCGTGCTGTTTCATTGCTCGCAGGATTTTCCATTATTTCTGACCTAACAGCTACATGAACGTTGCTCAGACGTTGTGTCGACTGCTAACTGCATTGATAACAAAAACGCTTGAATTAAAGCAGTTATGAAAACGGTGCATGGTTCTGTTATTGGGTTTGTGATGATGGATGAACCGTTTACATAGCAACTGGGAGGAGCTCGTCGCTCGACAACGCTCTTATGTTATTGTAGATGGTACTGTACGTTGATCGTTGGTACATTAAGGGGGTGGTGGTGTTGTCGTTTATCGTGTGTTATTGCCTTCGGTCAGTTAGGCATCCGTCTCTGACCACTGTTAATCTGCCCTTCTCGTTCCCCAGCGAGCTAATGACCGTCACTGATGCCCAGCTGTCGACCATGAGCGAAGCTGGTCCAGGCGACGCTGTGGGCAGGCGAGTGTCCTGCGATGGAGAACGGGGGACAGTGCGTTATGTTGGCAAAGTCCCTCCCACTGCTGGTGAGCTCGGCGCAGGTCCCAGTGCAAATCTGCGGACTAGAGATAATGACAAAGACGGGTTTATTTTGTTGCCTCTGACGCGCCTGCCCTCGCTGTGACGCATGGATTGGATTCCTTAAAGCCCGATATTACTTGATTTATGGTGGTTTACCCTTGATTATAATAGCTGTCAGGAGAAGTAAAGCCTAGGTTCTATTTGATGATCATGTCAAAGCAAGATTTGTAGACTCTTGTTTGCTTGTTTTGGGACATCTGTGTACATGTATTTCAGCTCTTAAAAAGTCTGATGGGATTTCTAAACGATATCAAACCAATTTCCGAGTTTCAGAACTACCCTCACTCAGGTGTGTAGAATAATGTAAATGATTGTACCTTTACTGAAGGAAAAATTCTGATTGTGTTACAGTGTTATTCCCATGTGTAACAGTTCATCAACAATTTATCAGCTAGTAAGACCTTTTTAGGCATAAATACAAGTTGAAGAAGGAGAAATGCCCAGATGTGAGGTTCTGTGTACTAGAATTAGATGTATTTCAAGAATGTGTACTGTTGCCCAACCAAACACAGAAAGCAGTGATACACTCAGCAGGTCTTCATATTTGAAGCCTTGTGTCACACCTGCCCCATGCACAAAAGACTCGTAAAATCAATATGTTGATGTGGGAAGCACGGACACAGAATGATGCTTTGGATTTTTGTAGATCAGTCAGACTTCCTCTAGAGTTCGCGTGAAGGTTAAATGACGCAATATAGCGTTTCGTTTTGGCCTTGTACGGTGACATTTTAAACCGGAGTCTTGCTTCGGAGACCCTACCGTATCCCGTTGACCCGCTGTGCTCTCTACCTCCATTTGATGTGTGTTCTTTCCTGGGCAAACACAGGTATCTGGCTGGGTGTGGAATGGGACAACCCAGAGCGTGGCAAGCACGACGGGACCCACGAAGGAGTTCAGTACTTCAAATGCAGGTGTAGTAACCCCTTGAAGCCTTTAGTTTGCCTGTGGTTCTCATGCTGAGGTCTGGGCCTCCCCCCAGGCTTCCTCAAGGAGGTCATCAGGAAACCCTGACCAGCTGACACCATTTTTTTTTTTTTTAATTTAGGCTCCCCAGTTATTTTTTGTGATCTCGCCCGTTTTGGAGTCACCAGTTGAGTGTTTGGCTCCTCTCAGCTCACAGCCAGGAACCCCGTGACCGCACACGGGGGAGGGAGCAGCAGTGTAGGCAGGCTCCTTCGATATCAACTTTGCATTCACATATTCGGCATTTTGGACTTTCCATTCTGATTTAGGTTTATTTTTGCTGTGGTCATTTATTAAGTGTGGGAGGAGTTTTATTTGATCTGTGACCCAGGGGAAAGTGCGGTCTGGATGGTTGAGGAGGGAACGGAGGCTGTTCTTCTTCTTCTACTTCTAATCTCTTTTTTGTTTTGGTTCCCAATAAAGTTTGATCATCGGCCAGTGAAAGCTGTGTTTTCTCTCATATGAATACCTAAAGCCCTAAACCGAACCCTGGATTTTACAGCTTTATACTTTTTCTTTTCCTAAGAGGGAGGATCCACACTGAATGCAAATGACTCTGGGGGGGGGGGAAATGAGATCCCAGGCAAAAGAGCCAGGACTCTCTGACCTCAATCGTAACACAAATAGCTTTAAAATCCCAGAATGCCTTGTGTTTCCCTGCAGCCATCCGACTGGCGGTTCCTTCGTCCGCCCCAGGAAGGCCAGCTTCGGAGTGGACTTCCTGACAGCCCTGAGGCAGCGCTACGACATGGAGATGGAGCAGGACAGCGCAGAGGAGCTGAAGATCGCCAACAAGCCAGTCGAGCTGGTCGGCTTCGAGACCGTCTGCCAGAAACTGAGGTAGCAGGCAGGCTGGCTTGTATCTGAGCCTGCAAGTACTGTCGCAAGAAAAATCACAAGACTACACTGTGAAAACAAGGTTCTGCCACCTGGCTATGATGTGTCATCTTCACAAAGATATATTCAGGTTTTCTCCTCTCTGTAGGTGTTTAACATCTGCTTCCTTGGTTTTTTGTTTCCCACAGCCAACTAAACTCGCTCGAAGCTGTTTCACTGCAAGGAAGTGAAGTGGCCGGCGCTGGCCCAGATAATGAAATTCAACAGAACACTCCCAGTATCCATTTTATTTAATCCATTGACTTATTATCCATTGTCTGAGTAGTTTTTTCTGGTATTCTAATTAATCCATTGGTCCTATTAATTACTTTTCATTGTACTGCAAATGGTGATGAGATACTAGATGTAAAAGGGATAAAACTAGTATTTTTGGGGGTTAGTTAAAAACGTTTTTTCTCATTTAAAAAGTTTGGTTGTTTAACAATGGGCAGCCCAGTAGTCTGGACCACTTGGTAAGCAATTCATGTGTATCACCTTCAAGGTATACACGGTTTGTGACACACACGATCTGGTGTGAGCCACAAAGTTTTGTTTTTTAGAACCAACAAATGTTTTGATTCAGCCCAGTCTGATCTCATCTTAACAGTCGCACAGATATCCTGTCTTTAGACTTGTCGGAAAGCTTGCTCGCTTCGTGGGACGATGTGGCCAGCATTACTCGGCAGCTTATAAAGCTGAGAGAGCTTCAGCTGAGGTAGTCATTCTTGTTGGCCTTCCTTGCCGCTTTGTTGGTGATAAAAACAAGCTATTTTAGTTATGCTTTAAGCACGTTAGCTCCCTCAGTAAATTTAATTTCCTGTATTTGACTCTCATCAAGAGCTAGAGAATATAAAAAAGGTTACAAACAAGGGAAGGCCATTCGTCCCATCCAGCCCGCTTGGTCATTAATAGTTAAATGATCCAAGGGTTTCATCCAGCTGCTTCTTGAAAGAAATCAGGGTATCGGCTTCAACAACATGGCTGGCTAGCTTGTTCCACACAGCCGCAACCCTGAAGCTGATAGGATGAATCTGTCAGACATGTGGCACGTGACTCCATTACCGAAAACATTGAAAGGCTCTGTGTTTGCTGAAATGTGTTATTATGTTAGAGAAGACGTGGTCAGGATCACATCCCATCACAGAATCACAAGAACACTTCCTGCATGTGAATTAGTTCCTGCACATCTCTTTATAGTAGCAGGGAATCCTTTTCAGTAGCACTCGTAATGTACTGTGCCATATTTGCTTGGAAATTAAGTGTTGCAGCTGCATTAAAGCAATGGATAAGAATAAAAAAATGGTGGTAGAAGAATTTAGTGGCTGATGTTTTCTTCTCAATTTTCACTTTTAGCTACAACAGACTGCATATGCCTGCCAACCCAGCATGTCTCTCTCACTGTTTTGCCAGCCTGAAGGTTCTAGTTCTTAATAGCACTGGGATCACCTGGTCGGAGGTAGGGCTTTACTTTTTCTGGTTCTAAGAGCATGAATGAGAATAACTGATCCTGTACAAACCTGATTATTCCTTTTCACACTCATGTCATAGGATTTAAGTGAAATGGAAGTTCTTTTAGTAAAATGAAAAACTATTTGTTGTAAATATCCCATTTTTATAATCTCTGGTGGAACAAGAAACCACTAAAGGAAGACTTATTTGCCATCTACTGTATGTGTCCCTCTTTTAGGTTCTGGTGTGCGCCCCCATGTGGCCTGTGCTGGAAAAGCTCTGTCTCTCCAGCAATGCCATTACTGTACTGCAGAAGTAAGTTTGTTTTTGGCATTTCACAATTATTTCTCTGATTGCTGAACACATCGCAACATATTCTTTATTTTTTTCTAATTCAGTTATGTGCTTTTTTCAACAGGCCAGTTGATGTTTTGCAGTCCCTGTCCTTGTTAGATCTGTCAAAAAACCCCTTAGCAGGTGGAGATGAACTCCAAAATATTGCACATCTGCCAAAGTAAGATAAAAGTCTTGAACTTCTTTTTACTGGGATAGACCTTTAATCTTTATAAAGTTTCTACCAGAGCTGTTAGTTCCTACACTTCTTATGCTAACAACTTAATTGTGAGTAACTGTGTGCAAGCTTCCATGACAGTTACAAAGTCTGACTTGTATACTTTTGGTGGGAAGCCTGTGAAAAGTTTCTCTTCACTTCTTCTGTACTACTGCAGTGTTGCCACAAGAAGGTCAAATTAAACTGCAAGTGATTGATGATTGATTGTTGCAATAAATGTTTCACACTCTGTTTTTGTTTCTCAGATTGGAAAAACTCATCCTGTCTAACACTGGACTGTCATCCATACGGTTCAACGATGTGGGTCCTGGTATGTTTAGGATGATTTGTTTTTTACAGCTTCATTTTAAAAATCTGTGAAAAAATATAGACTTTAACTGAAGCAAAGAAAATGAATTCTCTAATATTGGATAATAACGTCCAGCCCATGTGATTTTCAGCACCTCTGTGTTTGAAGAAGTTGCATTCTTAGTGCAGAACTATGGTGTATGATCTTTGTGAAGTCTCCTCTTAACCTTAGTCTGAGCAGGTTTGCAACAATCATCATGTCTTAATAGCCTTTCAAAGTTTTCCACAATTTTCTTCCAGGTTGCAAAACGTCAATGTTTCCTTCGCTGAAGTGCCTCGTGGTTGAAAACAACAACATTTCAGAGGTAACTTTCTTCTGTGCCTTAAATAAGATGAGATTGTAATGGCAGCGCTCTGTGGGGAATCACACATTCCACACAGCGGTTTCTCCCAGATGTCTTTGCCCACACGCTGGGCGCTGTGAGGTTCCCCAGCTGAGGCCGGCCTCTTTGTTCTGCTCCTCAGTGGTCGTTTGTGAACGAGCTGGAGAAGCTGCCGAACCTGCAGCAGCTCTCCTGCTTCAACAACCCCCTGATGACAGCAGGGAAAAGCCCAGAGACTGTGAGACAGCTCATCATCGCGAAGGTCGGCGGGCTGCAGCTGCTCAACAAGTCGAAGGTAGAGTGCAGCGGGAGCCGTCTCCTCGGGCGAGCAGTCGGGCTGCGAGTGAGGAGCGGGTCTGATTGACTGGTAGTGGCGGTATCAGAGGAGGAGGGAGTGTGTGAATTTGTAAAAATGCTAAACCTAGACAGTCTAATATTTATACTGAGCTTCACACCTCAAGCCTTATTATTTTAGAATTAAGGCCCCCCTACCAAACACTGCCCCCCCCCCGACTGCCACACTGGTTCCGTTCTGCAAGTCTTCACCTCACCAAATGTTTACACAAGTTAGAGGCCACCCTTTCACGGCACTTGTAGGGAATAAAATAGGAATATTTTTATATCCTGTAATTAAACTCCAAATATAGCAAGCACCTAAAGTAAATAATAAATGAAACCTTGGAGGAAGGGAGTCGAAAGATGCCAAACATGCCGCACGATTGTGAGGGCAGTGTAAAATGGTGGACGCCGGTTACACTCTGCGCTCTTGATCTTGGTCTTTACTTAAACTTTCCGTCACTCGAAAATGGTATTATGGGAGGTTTTTTTTATTTCTGCAAATCAAATCCTGTGGGACCCGGAGAGGGGATTTGTTTTCTGTAATAATTTCTGCGCCACTACGGCTATGAACATCAGGCGTCTGTGTGCCCATTCGCCTGGCTTCCTCCCTGGTGCACGAGGGTTTGCCCTGTGTCTGCAGCCACACTCGTGTTGTATCGATGCCAGAAGGGCTCTTCTCAGGGTGGCAGGGCTCTGCCGGGTGGGGTTTCAGAGGCCAGCCGCCCTGCTAGGCCTCACTGTGTGTCTGCCTTTGCGGCGCAGATCCAGCCTGTGGAGCGGAGGGGGGCCGAGCTGGATTACCGGAAGATGTTTGGGAGGGTGTGGCTGGAGTGCGGCGGGGACCGCGACCCGGAGCGCGACCGCCCCAGCCAGGCCTTCGCCGCCGAGCACCCGCGCTTCCGGACCCTCATCCAGAGTAGGTGCCGCAGCCACTCTCCCACCGCAGCAACCAAGACTGAGGCGATGAGAGACTTCGGCAGCAGCGAAGTTGATTCCAGCTCTCGTTGAGGTTTACCTATTGCAACCATTAACGTTCCTCTTTCAAACTGAGTTCACCCCCTTCGGCATGTTTTGGCAGCAGGTTTAACCAGGAGGCTGCTCCTTAACCAAGCAGGTTCAGCCGAAACGTAATATATTTTAATAATATATTAATATAATACTCGGTAAACATTCACAAAGCATCTGGACAGCATTCCTGGATGTTGTTATTCCTAGTTGAATGTATTCTGGTGTTTTTGTACAATATATTGACTGTTCCTGCTGTTGTAGGTGAAAGTCCTCTCTGCTGTATCGGATCTGCAGCATGGTGTGAACGATGGGCTTTGGAAGGCGGTTTACAGAAATAACATCGGAGATCTTTTTCCATTTCAGAATACGGCGCACCAGAAGAGGGTGAACTGAAACAACAGCAACCATTCGCACTGAAGAATCAGTTGCTCAGTAAGTCGCCCTGTTGTTTTCATCAGGCTTGGTCCTGGCAAACTGCTGCCAATGAGCCTTTTTGTGTTTAAAGGAAGTTAACGGGCTCCTGCCAGCAAGATGATGCAGTACTTCTTTAAAAAGTCATGTCTGCTGCTGATTTCATTCAAGCAAAAGTACTTTGTGATAAGGACTGAATGTTTTATGATGTAGTATCTCAAAGATGCTCTAAATAACCGCCTCCACCCTTCAATATTCTATGCACTTGAAATGAATTACAATAGGATTTAACCTACTTTATGTCTTTAAATGACAAATCTCAAATCAAATTCCTTTTGTTTTGTCTTTTCAAAGCTATAACTTTTGTTTGCCCAGACGTGACGGAAAAGAAACCCATTGAAAAGAAGCTTCCAGGTAAACAGTCTTCTTGGCAGTGATGTGCACAAGATCTCTCAGCGCCAGGATTATTCTTCAGACCCACACAATCGCTCTCAGACAGAGAGAGACTCTCAGCTGCTGCACATCCAGGACACCGAGATGGCCTTGTCCATGGGTGAACCGCAGTGTTTGGATAGAATCACCTATAACAGGTTCACCATGTAAAGCAACTAGTCAAACAGAGACCCCTGAGAACCACAGCCCAGCCAGCTTTACAGAGAACTCAGGCTCGTCAAGGTTTGAGGTCTATATAACATTTGGAAAACGGCGGTTAAGCCTGGCGTGGGGAACTCTTTGTCAAGCCATCCCTGTTTGGTGTGTACAGAGGCGGTCCTGGTTAGTTATGTAGTTGAATTGCAGGATCTAACCTAATGAAAAGCGTGCTGATTCGCCTCTCGATGCTGCTTGCAGACTCCATGAACATCCAGAAGGTGAAGGGGCTGCTGTTCCGGCTGCTCAAGGTGCCCGGTGCTGAACTGAGGCTCTCGTACACCAGCTCAAAGGTACGGGCCGGGCCGCCTCGGGTCTTCTCCTGTTGCAAGCACCTTGGCAGTTCAAGAGCTCTTGTTTATTTGTTGAATTGCGACTGAAGGTTAGGTGTTAGGGGTTACTCTTATGATCTCCTCCTATTGAGTAGTATACAAAGTGTTTAACACCACACACAAAACATTTTACAATATAGTTTCTATTTCAGTCATTATTTTATCTAAACCAACTGGTCAAGGACATGAGAAGATAAGGGATGCTGGGGTTTTAAAGGGGAACTGCAGTCCAATCTCTCAGTCTTGGTGGCAAGTTGGCCTTCTAGAAAAAAAATCAAATTTCCAATCAAGCACAAAATTGGGAACTTTGTGAAAGTACTGTAAGTCACCATTTTGTCACAAACTCGCATTCGAGTTCTGAATCGCAGAACATGGCATTTTGCATACCTGAAAATTTAATCTATTTTGGTTTTACAGGTTACTGTGTACATTTTACATTTTACTTTTATAAAATGCATTCATCAATGCTGATTCTTTCTAACCCCCCCCCAACTATTACAATTGGAATGCAGTTCTCCTTTAAGCAGAGTAGTTTCACAGTGTTCTGTGAATGATCAGACGGGTATGCATTTACACTCAGTACTGAAATTTCATGCTCATGGAAGAGTTGAAGAGTTGAAATGCTCTTTTTCTCCTCCTGCTGTTGTGGCTTGTTCAGAAAGGCTCACCTTTCGCTCTTTTCTTCAGATGGAGGGCAAAGAAATTGAAATCGATAATGACCTGAAGCCTCTGCAGTTCTACTCTATTGAAGATGGAGACAGAGTACTTGTACGCTGGTCTTGATGGCAAATAGTTCAGTGACACGGACACTACAGCCCCCAGATAGGAAATCCTGCTTATGTGGTCTAAGCAAAATACCTTTATTGCTGCCATTGGGTAAGAGGCACTTGTGTAGTAGACTGTCTGCTGTGACTTACCCCTTTCTGCTTTTAAGCGTGGTTTTATGTTTAGCAATTATGACTACCAATTGCTATTAAAAATTGCTCTATAACTGTCCAGTGTAAAAGGAAGACCTGCTTCTTACATTGTTCCATAGATGTAGCAGCTGTTAAAGCTCATGAGTGCATACTGCAATGATTTATTTAAAGACTGTGTACTTGTGCTCACTTCATGAACCATGACGAGTAAATATCCAAGTCTACTGCATTGCGCAGTTAAAACCTTGAATTGCTAAGAAAAGAAAACCATGCTCATACATTTCAAGCAATTAGTAAAATTCTGGTCTTCTGATTAAAAGCGTGAATGTTTCAAGTCCCTACTGTATCATCATCAAAGCACCATATGAATATTTTGATCTAGAACTCAGTGGCTGTGGTAGCCTTTGGACTTAATGAAAAGCACTTCACTAATATAACTGATTTCTAACCAAGCAAGTGGTTTGGCTTTCATTTAGGCTAAATGTAAAAAACACAAATGCAATGTGAATTCATTGTAAGTGCTTTCCTACACATTTTGTGCATGCATACAGCAGAAGTCTTTTACAAGCTAGGAAATGCAGTTTAAGCTCAGGAGTAGGGAACATTCACAGGAAGAAACCTATAAATCAATTTTCCACTAATGTAAGAACCTTTTGTTTGTTGTGTTTGACGTACAGTTGTAGAATATGAAACCAGCTTCAGTTACCAGGCATGTTTTCTGGTGCCACAGTACCAAGATATTTCACTTCCCCTTCAAGGTGCACCATTTCAATGTCTTAGTACAGCCCCTACCAGTAAGTTGTGGCTGACAATAGCTGCTGTCTCTC